AGTAGTCACAACCATATTTACAAGCTAGATACCCACTTCTCTTTTGAATAGAATTCCAGAGAAATGCTGAGTTATGAATGAAAAGAGAAAATGAAAGTGATTGTCCTACATCAGCCATGTTAGTCCTACATAAAATCAGTGGATTAGATGTGCTCATACTAAAGCTGAATGGTAAAAGCGTTGATACAATTTGTGGAACAAATAGTAAACATATTCAAAAGACTGCACAAATAAATGAAATATTTACTATTTATAACTGATCAGATTTAGAGAACCCCTATGCTGATCCATTCTCTATTGTAAAGCAGTATGGGAAAACAAAATATTTTAGGAGCTCATAATTTAGGTGGAAAATTAGTTGCAAATTTTAAGCAGGCCCATGCATTTCATAGGTATGCCTGCAAAATACCTATATTAATACAATCTCTTCCCTTTTTTCATTTAATGAGTTGTTCTTAATATGCATTGTCTTTTAAAAATGAGAATTCCAATATTATTCAAGTTCGGTCCTAAATTTTCACATTTAAACATTTATTTGATTAAAGTTATAACCAAAGTTCCTTTAGTCAAGAAAACTACCATTTGACACACTCATAAATGAGGGAAACAAGGTCTTTTTTAGTGCATTTTGAATCCACTCTAACATGGCTTTCAAAGATAAGTTTAGTTATGTCATCAAAACATAAGAACATTAGAATGGCCATATTGGGTCAGATCAAAAGTCCATCTAGCCCAATATCCTGTCTGCCGACAGAGGTCAATGTCAGATGTCCCAAAAGAGTGAATAGAACAGGGAATCTTCAAGCAATCCCTCTCCATCACCCATTCCCAGATTCTAACAGAGGCTAGGGCTAATAGTCATTGATGAACTTGTCCTCCATGAATTTATTTAGTTCTTTCTTGAACCCTGTTAAAATCCTGGTTTTCACAACCTCCTCCGGCAAGGAGTTCCACAGGCTAACCATGCACTGTGTGAAGAAAAACGTCAGTTTGTTTGTTTGTTTGAAACCTGCAAACTCTTAATTTAATTTGGTAACTCCTAGTTCTTATGTTATGGGAACAAGTAAATAACTTTTCCTTACTCACTTTTCCCACCCCAGTCATGATTTTATGGACCTCTATCATATCCCCCCTTAGTCTCCTTTCTAAGTTGAAAAGTCACAGATTTTTTTTAATCTCTTTTCATATGGGAATCGTTCCAAACCCCTAAATATTTTTGTTGCCCTTTTCTGAACCTTTTCCAATGTCAATATATCTTTTTTTTTTTTAGTTGAGGCAACCACATCTGTACACAGTATTCAAGACATGGGCGTACCGTGGTTTTATATAGAGGCAATAAGATATTCTTTGTCTTATTTTCTATCCCTTTTGTAATGATTCCTAACATTGTTTGCTTTTTTTTACTACCGCTGCATACTGAGTAGATGTGTTCAGAGAACTATCCACAATGATGCCAAGATCTCTCTCTTGAGTAGTTATAGCTTAATTAGTTCCCATCATATTGTATGTATAGTTGGTATTATTTTTTCCATTGTGCATTACTTTACATTTACCAATATTAAATTTAATTTGCCATTTTTGTTGCCCAGTCGCTTAGTTTTGAGAGATCTTTTTAACGCTCTTCACAGTTTGCTTTGGTCTTACCTATCTTGAGCAGTTTAGTATTATATGCAAATTTTGCCACTGTTTACCCCTTTCTCCAAATCATTTATAAATAGGTTTGTGAGGAAGTGAGAGGAAAGCCTGGCAGTGCAGAGGCTAAACAAGGCCTTTTTGCCCAATTATCCCCACCCCCTTTTACCTGCAGCCAATGCCAGGCCTGGAGGGAGAATAAAAGGAGGGAATCTGACTCAGTTTGGAGCTGACCAGTGAAGAGGCAGGAGCTGGTTCTACTGCACACAGAACTGGTACTAGAGTGGTCTACTGAGTTGGCTGCCCTCAGGTGCAAAGGGGGGAGAACCAGAGGGAAAACCCCACTGAGGAGGGGGAAACCCCCACTGAGGAGGGGGCCCTGCCCCAAACTGAAGGAGCAGACTTTGATAAGTGGATGGAAGTCCTACACCCCAGACCCCCAGCTAACACTGGGACCTAACCACTCAGGAACTCTGCTGCCTGGGAGACCTGGTCACAAGGTTTAATAGGATTGGTACCAGTATGAATCCTTGGGGGACACCACTAGTTCCCTCTCTCCATTCTGAAAACTTAGCTATTTTAAGAAAATAAGGCTCTCCATCAAGGACAGGTTGGGAGCAAGATATTTTGATCCCCAAAGGAAATATCAGAAAAGAAGATGAAGGAGATTGCAATAGTGTTATTCTTAATCTCTCACTTTGATACAACACTTAGGAGCATTATATCAAAGCCTAAAAATAGTTGCCGTCCAACCACCAACCAATCATGAATGGTGGGTATTACAAGCAAAGGAAGGATTTGACTTCCCAAACTGCCTAACATGTTCCCACCCATGCTCCACCTCGAAACCTCCCCTTACCTGCTATTCCCAGGCCTGTTGCTGGCCAGGACCCTCAATGGTTGCATCTGTGTAGCTGCTGTAGCGCTGGGTGGGGCTCCAAGACTGCTGCTGCTATGCTCTGAGTGCCAAGAGAGTGGCTCTGCAGAACCTGTGCCCTCAGGCACATGCAACTAGAACCAGAAGGTAGAGGGCTCAAGGAGATCAGCTATGTACATTACTCTGAAACACACACAACACAACCGGCAGAATGGCTCTTGTGCAAGACTGCTTCTTGCACAAAAGGTTCTTGGCAAAAATGTCAGCTCATTAAGTATGCAAATGAGGCAGGGTGATATTCATTGCTGCACCTTATTTGCATATGTTCTTGCACAAGACTGGGCAGTGTAGACGTAGCCCTCTGGTTTCTAATCAGATTACAAAATGTTAACTACAATAATGGTCCAAAAGCCATTCAAATTAATTTCAACTATTTTATAACATTGGGGCTGTGTCTACATTGGCACGCTCTTGCGCCAAAGCAGACGCTTTAGCGCAAAAACATGCTGCCTGTCTACACTGGTGGGGAGTTCTTGCGCAAGAATATTGGGCTGTGTCTACACTGGCATCAATTTCCGGAAATGCTTAAAACGGAATACTATTCCATTTTCAGTTTTTCCGGAAAAGGAGCGTCTACATTGGCAGGCTGCTTTTCTGGAAAAGCCCTTTTTCCGGAAAAGCATCTGTGGCCAATGTAGACACGCTTTTCCAGAAAAGAGTCCCGATCGCCATTTTCGCGATCGGGGTTTTTTTCCAGAAAAGACTACTGGGCTGTCTACACTGGCCCTTTTC